TAAAGTTATTTAAATCTATTGATGTAATATAGATAATAGCAGAATGATTTTTCATTGTCATATTTTCTAACCTTAGATTAGAGATGAGGCTGAGTTCATAGCTAAGAGAGACTGATTTTGGTATGTAAAAAATGAGAAATAAAAAAAAAAACAATCTGTAGAAAAATTGTAAACAAAACAAAACTTACAGCACTCTAAGCATTTATTCAATTTTCACTCTATCACAATAATAATTTATACTACAGAAAACTTGGCTAATTCAAACTTGTTTGATTTGAATTCATGGTTAATTAGAATATTTCCCTTGGGCCTCTGAATTTTTTATTAAGAACATGCAAAAAACAAAAAAAATCGCATGTCATTTGAACTTTTTTGATTCAAAGTGACTGTTAAAAATTACACAATGACCATTACTGAACTAAAGATATTAAATTTAGCCCACATACTCGCAGAGATTGATAGAAGTGCGATATTCCCCATTTATATATATATATATATATATTTTTAATCCTTTATAATTTTGATTATAAAGTTTTAGTTAATTAGAATTTTTGCTGGTCCCTTTGGCTTCAAATTAACCATGTTTGACTTGTATTAGCTTTAGACAAATTATTAGTAGTAAAAAAAGCAGAATACAGAGTAATAATACATTGTACCATGTATAATAAGTATTGTATTAAAAGTTAATTATCTATTAATATATAATATTACCTATTTAATATTTAATAACTAATATTTTTTTATTTAATAACTAATTATATAATATTATCTATTAGAAAAAAGTTACAAAAATTAATAATTCCTTATAACCTATAGCTTAGAGAATGTGATTTTGAGATATGACTTAGATTTACAAGAACTTTCAAATTGGCTTTCTAATACAAAAGAGCTGAAGATCGCATATATCTATAGTTAATGTAAAAATATTAATACATCAGAGATCTTGCAGATAACTAAGTATACATGTTGAATAAAAAAATGTAAATAAGAAAGTGGGTAATATATTATTCTGCAATGCTCTTATGAAAACATTTTATTTTATTGGTAAGGCATAAAAATAATAAAAGCATTACAAAAACTACAAAAAAAAAATCGGAACATGTGAACATTTTGTCCCACAGAAAGTATTTGTATATGTAATTATAATAAGAGAAAATGCATTAAAAGTACAATAAAAGTGCACATTAATATTTTGTTGGTAACCTCTTTGGGTCTATAATTGAACTCAAATATCACTGCATGGAATTCTTCAATTTGGCTGAGAACTCAATGGAGATATTACCCTACTCTTCCTGTAGTGCCAATTTTAAATTATCTTTGTTTGAAATGTGGTGATTTCTTATTTTCTTCTTAAGATAATCTCATAGGTACTAAATAGAATTGACGTAAAGACTTTGTGATGGTGTTTCAAGTTAATGGGATGGAGTACAATAACTATATTCATGTATTACAAGTCATATACTTTGGATTGTTGCTCTACATAAAAATATAATTTTTGGAAAATCCCATTTTCTGAACACTTTTAGGCAAATCTCCATTCAATATATCAATGTAAGTGTATTGGATCCATTATGCTATGGATAAAGTGTAGAGCATCCACTCCTTCATCCCAAACAAGAACCAATCCTCCCTTCATTCACTATGGCTGAAATGTTTTTTATTCAGTTCTGTATTTGGTTTACAGCATATCAGATTGGTCCACATTGGTGGTTTACCTCCATCAGATTGAACCTGCTTTCATTGATGAATACCACTTTATTCCAGAAGGTAAGTTACGATATTCTCTTGCAAACTGTAATCTTTTTCTCCAGTTTACTTCACTGTTTGGGCATTTTCTCCAGCAGTTCTGCCATGGTATCCTTCCTAGCAGAAGACATTTCAGACTGTGCTCTGTGATATATTCTTGCCAGTGCTATTTTTCACTTCCGCTGCAATCTTCAGGGCACTTAGGATTTGTCTTGACTTTCCTCCTCATTGCATTTACATCACACTAACTTAAAATTTGAGGAAAATTTATCTCTTCATTTATTGTAAACTCTACTGCTGTTTGAGTACCTGTCTATGATGTATTGAACAGTTGTATGGGATTTGTTCACAATTTAGAAATTTTGCTTGATGACTTGCACATTTTATGTAGGTTTATGACTCTCTCTCATTCTTCCAGAGTTGTTTCTTTTTCTTTGCATCCCATCTTGTTTATAAATATCTTCCTATGATATATGACATCATGATGGCCTTGTAATATCATTAGTTGCCAACCAGGCATACTATTGTAATTATAAATGATACACTATTTAATGTGTATGAATACATTTTGTACACATATACTGGACCTAATTCTATAGATACAGGATACAGTATACGAGTACAATTCCCTAGCTCAACCTTGGAGTAAGAAGTTTAGCTTTCCAGACATTTGACAAATTCAAATTACAATTTGTTAATTCAAATTTGTCGAGTTAGCAAATGGTAATTCAAAATTTAAAGCTTTCATTGAAATTCTCACGACAAATTCTCTTAAATGTCACACTCAAAAAATATGCACACGACAATGTCAAACTCAAAAAAAATTTTAATGTTGGAGAATGGTCAATTTCTAAAAAACACACCATACAAGCAAACTTGGGATTTCTATACATCAATATTTGTGAAGAAAATGCATTAAAGGTGTTATCCAAAAAGATAGAGATTTTTTTTTTTTTACATCAGGCTCTTTCTTCTACAAAACCTATATATTTTGTAGATGATCCTAGAGCTGATTTTGTAATTATTTCAACAACACATTAATCTCATATTAAATGATATTCGAATAATATTCAAACATCAGGTTGGAGTATGAAATTCTGTATTTTTAACTTTTGCAAAAAAAGCTTTTACATAAAAACTGATTGATAACAATTTATAATTTCAATTACTTTCACTAATCATTTATTAAAAATATATTTTCATAATTAAATAAAATAAAAAAAGAAACTTTTTTTTAAAAAACTATGTCAAATATTAATTATCCAAATAATCAATAGGATGATTATCACACCAAAATATTGTATAATAAAATAAAGACACTGAGTTCAGTGATAAGAAAACATATGCATGTAACACCAAACTCTGTCTTTATTTTATTATAAATTATCCAAATTAATACCAAAATTAATTGTTATATTTTTAAGCTTTCAATAAATCCATTTAAATTTAGTTTAAAAATTTTAACTTAGAACAGCATTTAATAAATATTTATTAAATTAAAGTCATTCATACATTGTTAATAATTTTGGATTTTATGATTGATATTTATTATCTTCTTTCTTGGAATATGAGTTCAAATGTTTCATTTTAATAAATGAAATTATATTAAGGAATGAGAAGTAAAATTTAGATGTACTACTAAGCCAAACAATTGCCAAATTATATTGGGCTATATTACTGCTACTATTAATAATTAAATGCTAAGTAATAATAGTAATACTATAGACCTATCTAATCCAGCAATCATTTGGCTTTAATATAACTAACAGGCTTACAGATGTTTATCTTTGATTTAGAACTCTAGTTAATAAATTATATAGACCAAACAGGAAATAGTCAGTTTTAGTTATATAATAATTTAGCATATATAGAATAAAAACTTCTCTTAAATGATTAACACATGTTGTATAGTTAATAAAATAACATACGAAAGCAACTTTTTCCCATACAACTATTCAATACATCATAGACAGGTACAAATAATACTTAATTGTTGATATCAGATATTAAAAACATATTTGGTTCAAAATTTGTGAACTAAATATATAGCTGATCCATGAACTATGCAACCCACACTCCAAACACCTGTAAAAATCAATGCACACAAATAAAAATGTTAAAAAAAAAGTGAAAATGAAGGAAAAATTGAAAGCAATCACTTTGAACATATTGTGATATATTTTTCAAATTTCTCAAATTTTCAGATTTCTCAAATTGCTTTTTTTCTATAAATGGGTTGCATCGTACTTGAATTTCCCTGTACTTGATATTAGCAGCAATCAATCTGTAGCCTACATATATAAATAATCTATTTAATTTTAAAATGCAAAGTTATACAGTATAGATAATAGACACATCACGTGTTATAGCAGCGCTTCTCATACAGTACCTTTTGTGTTCATGCACCTTTTTTTTAGTCTAAGTCTCTAAGATATATAAAGGAAAGACAGAGTAGGCCATTTAAAAACAGATGAATGATTAGTAAAATGGAGTAATGTTTTAATATCTTTTTAACATTCATTAAAAAATTACATACAAAGGTGGAATAAATCGAACAGTTTTTATATCAGGTAGTAATTGAACGAAGCCAGATTCATAAAAAAGATTGTAATGTAAAGTGAATTATATTAAACCAAGCAATTCTAGGAATCACGTTGTAAAATGAAGGTTCCCCAGGGACCATTATGGAATTACATCTCTACAAGCATTAACTGAATTTAAACAATGCTAATGACACAATTACCATAACGGCATCTCTCCCAACCCTTAAAATGTTCCCTTCTCTATGGACAAAAAATTGCCAAACTTNACAAAAGATAATTTCATTATTCCATTTTTAATAATAGAAAATTTGTATAAAATTTTAAGGAATATTCATAGATTAATTCTCTGTTGATAAACATTAAAATGTAAAACTATTCAGCCTTATTGTATTATTTTTTTTCATTATAAACCATCCGTGTAGTGTTTAAATGTATTTTATATAAAATGTAATTTTCTGTTCCTTAGTTATAATACAGGAAATGATGATTTTCTTAAAATTATTGCCTTTCAATATTTCATGACAAATCAAATGGAACAACAAATGCTTTACTCCAGCGAAGGTAATCAAACCAAAACACATCGATCATTAGGCCTAAATTTGTTTCCCCGTTGTTCTTCGGTATTTAATAATTTTAATGCTTGTTAAAGTATAAATATTAAAAGTCAGAAGTTGAATTAATCGATTAGAAATGAACCAAAACAATACTTACTTTAAAATTTATATCCTTATTATTATAATCCCTACATGATTTTCGTTTGACTTGTCACTTTTACTTAATTTCCATTTTTAATTACTTTGTAAATTATTACTTTTACCGTAGTTTTATTTCTTAAATATGATTGGTCGATTACTTTAAAAATTTCTATACTATAACTACACTACTTTAAAACTTTTAACAACAATCGATACGCATTCCCCATTCGAGTTTATGACGTCACTTGTCCTTCCTCCCTGATTAGTTCATTTCTGCGAGTGCGTAATTGAAAATCGGAACTTAAGTATTAAATCTTCCTACCATTCATTTTGTAACAATAGGAAAGATATGATTTTTTTCTTGTAAATAACTTCTCCGATTAAAATATAGTAGAGTTGCTTTTGACTGATACGTTAGGCATATTTTTTTTTCTTCTTATCTCTCTGCAGCCTACGTGCTCTAAGAGTAATTCTATTGTGGATTCGGCCAGGCCCACAATGAAGCGGATGGATGGTGAACAATATATCCGAGACGGATCATCCTGATGAAGAATGCTGACCCGTCAGAATCCGTTCCCGCATCCCTGGAGCGATAGACTAATACTTTAACCGTTCGGCAGTCCGGCCGTCGGTGTAGGTTTGCTATCAACGATTTAGTAATGTTTTTTATATGTGAAATATGATGGGTTACTTTAACTGCGCCCTGTGGATGTTAAGAGAGTCTATTTAACAAATGGACTTGCTAAAATCCTTGCACTAAGTAAATTGGCGTTATAAAAACTCGTGGTAATAATTAGCATACTGTGGTTACATTACAGTACATTGTAGCCTTTATTGCTTCCAAATAAGACGGATGGATGGCGAAGCGGCTAGAATGTTAGCCTATCACTCTGGGGAGCCGAAGAATGAATCCGGACGGTTCGGAAAAACCCAGAAAATTTTCGGAGGGTGGTGCGTCTCATATTACGATATATCGGATATCGTTTCTGACCAACCAGTTACCCTATTAGTAGGAACAAAACATAAAATTGGGTCATATAATTAAAGTTAAATATAAGTGTAAAAGTAGCAATAGCTTTAAGAATAAAATAAATGAAGGCATATATTTGAGTCTAGTGTGATAAAATCTATTGCTTTTATTTCAAATGCTACATTCTTTTAAGTAAAAGCTACAGTACACTGCGGTATGTAAATTAAACATAAAATTATCTTTATAATGGAGAAAGAAAATAAAGAAATGAAGTTTGTCAAACTTTTAAATCAATATACAGTTTTCTTAGAAAAATCGCGCAAGTTCCGGCAATAAAACAAGAAAACTTATGTCGTTATAACTTTCTGGCCTATATTTCAATATTGGAGACAGCTGATGCTCAGGTGATAAAAGAAATTGATAACATGAGAGATGGGAAATAGTCACGGCAGTGACTCTTCTCCAAACAAAAAAGTCACTGACTGACTATCATACTATAGAGGAATCGCTCGTAGAGAAAACAACTACTGAATCTAGAAAGCTCAAATTTTAAACTTAAGCCTTACTTGTTATCAGTAAGGTGCACGCGAAATTTCCTGGTCGAAATTTTTTCAAAAATGCGAGGCTACTCTCCCTAATAAATGACAAAAAGTTATATTTAATATGACCTAAAATTGCACGATTAATTTTTATTTTTTACATTAAAAAATTACTTAAAAGCCTTAAAATTATTTCTCTATCTTTTAAATTCTTCATTAATTTAAAAATGCACGCATTTTCTCCTTCCCAAGAATAATTTTTTTTAATACTAAAAAAATTGGTTAATGATTTTTTAATAAAATTCAGAAAATTCCGTGAAATATGGATTTTTCAATAAAGTCATTAAAAATATCTTACAAAATAATATTGATTCATTAATAATTACAGTAATACAATTAATTTATAAGAATAAAATTTTCATATAAAATAGTTTATGAAAAGCTTTGAGTTATATTGTAAACTGATTATAGAGTATTTTAAAAATTTACGTCTTTTTAAATTTCAGTCTTCTTTTAAAGACATTTTAATATTTAATATGACTTAAGTTGAATGTATACAATAATAAAAACATCCTACATAACTACAAGTGCCCTCGTATATATTATTTAGACTGCATAAAAAATATTAGGAAAAGTTTATTACCCCACTGGCTTATTTTATAACTCCAAAATTCCTTCAATGAATCATAGTTTCCATTGTTGGAATCTATATTGATGGCATAGAAATCAAAAGGAAAAAAATATTCTTTAAAAAAAACCTTTAACTGATACGTTTTTCTTAACTCTTTCCACTCTGTGGACAATAAGAGGGCCTTTTTTGGCAAGAGCATTATGGGTTTGACAAGGCCCACAATGGGACGGCCGGATGGTGAGGGACGGAGCCCGATATATCTGGACTGACTACCCCTCCCGAAAAATTCCTGGGGATTTTATAGACCCGTCCCGATTCGAATCCGAGTCTCTCCAGAGTGGTAGTCTGCCACCTTGACCGCTCGGCCATCCCGCCAAACTGATAAATTAGAAATGGATAGGAAATCAAAAGTTAAAAATTAGTTTTTAAAATAAAACTGTTCCAGTGTTAGAACAATAAAAATTAAATAAATATAGTATATACTTCAATATCCAGTTTATTAGCAATATTAACATAAAATCATCCAAAATTATATTACGAATTTAATGTAAGCGAAACAACTTTCTTGCCGATTTCTCCATCTTTCTTGGTAAATATCTTGTTTCTCCATCTTGCAAAAAAGTTGTCTGCAAATTATGTAAAGATGCACAGTACGTACCGTACAACTTTTGTTGTCATAACAACTCTGTGCATGACATTTTCACATCGCACTTGCTACAAATCCACCGATTCTTAATTCACGTGACTCTTCGTAAAATCCGACGATTTCCGTCTTGTCTCTTTAAAAACAGATGATCTAATGCTGAATCAACAATCGTATATTACAAACAACTAAAAATCTTACAATAATTTCTTTAAAAATACACACTCGCTAACGCAACTCTCGCCAATTTAGCCTACCGAAACGCCGCCCTATCAAGAGCAGTTGCACAAGAACGAAAACGAAGGGTGAGAACAATAGCAACTCCCTAACCAGTTAATCTATTGATACGAGTGCTTTCAATATTCATCTCGGTCGGCCTTATAAAAATCCTTATAAAAAGTTTTAATTGGGATGTATTTTAGTTTTTCTTATTCTTAATAGCATTTTGAATAAAATTCATTTATTTCCAAGCAATTTTATCATTATAAGAATAAAATTAAGCCATAAAACTGAACTAGCTCTATGGGAAAATTCTGCTCTGTTCCCAAACCAGTTTATCTAGTAACCATGATTGAAAGCGTTCGGCTGGCCCACAAGTGGCCAAGCCGTTTCCGTCCCTGAACACTAGCAATTCGGTCATGGGTTCACGCCACTCCAGGACGGGCTGGCCACGTGAAGTTTTTCGGGTTTTCTCCACGTCTATAACGACAAAATAGAGGCCAGTTAACATTAAAAGTCCTCCCGAAAGGCATTATTCCCTGCTCTCATGTAAGGCCAAGAAGTTTAAAAGCTTTGTCCGGTTTGTCAGATGCTAGCGCCATCGCACTGTCAGAGTTATAGCCGGAGGGGCTGCACAATCCATATAAACCGATGAGATGGTTAGTAACGCATTTCGATATGTTCAGTCGGTGCTCGGCGGTCCTGACCGAATTGTACTGTACGTTATCGTCTTATGTCTTGACGTAATAATATAATTAAACAGAAAACACTTGATATCCAAACAAAAATATCTGAGATGTGAAAACTCCAAGTAAAAACAACTTAAACGAGTCAGAATTTTTTTTTTTTTTTTTTTAGTTTTCCTTTGGTACTTTACCTTAATGCTTGGCGCTTGAAAGCGGTACCACAAGATTTTTACCTGTATTATTATTTTCTACATTCGCTTCGATACGCCGTTTAGAAAAAGTTTTAATTGGCAAATATTTTAGCTTTTGTTATTCTAAGTAACATTTTGAATAAAATTAAGCCGTAAAACTGAACTAGCTCTATTCCCGTGAACTTTGACCTATCGACCCGGAAATTTCTCTAGTACCTCACTGATAATGAGAAAAGCTTTAGTTTAAAATTTGAGCTTTCTAGACCCAGTAGTGTTTTCTCTACGAGCGTCTGCAGTGCCGGATGAAGAAGAAAATAAAGCGTTTTTGGCGATTTTTGCACTCTTCAATTGTTTATATTTCGGCAACCGCTCTATACAAAATCTTGAAATTGTTCTTACTACCTAAAAACACATTTTCTTTCTAACAAGATATTCGGAATTACTTGGGGTGTTTGAGGGATCGGAGAAATCGACCCCTGAAAATCGGCAACTTTGATTCCTGTATATGTAGTCAGTGACTTTTTTGCTTGGCGAAGAGTCATTGCCGTGACTCCTGATAGAGAACACTTTTTGCTTTAAAAATTTCTTATTCTCGTCTCTTGGTACATGACTCGATAACGGCTAACGGCGTTTTCTATTTTGTGGTGTACAGTTATTGAATGTTTAACATTATTTTTTTATCTAATATTCAGAAACATGAGACAGTTTATCAAGTACTTTTAATGTGTTTTCGTGAATGTGAATGTGTTTTAATTTCATTATCTCAATGCTATCATTCTTAGCTTCGTATGTTGGTTCTGTATAAAGATTATAAGTTCTATATCAGTAAGGTCAAAAGATGCATCCATATTATCAGCGGCGTAGCGTGGATGTCAGCCGCCCGGGGCAAAGGAAAATTTCGCCGTCTCCTTATTTAGGTATCTCAATTTAATAGACTAAAATTCAGTTTCGTCACAGAATAAATAATGAAAAATTCCGTGCTAGTGTTGCCACCTTTTTAAAATCGCTGACCCGGACGGCAAGTGAGGTTTGTTCGAACAGAAGTTCCTGATGCATGCGTAAGTCATTTTGCAATGCGAAGAATAATGTGCGGTGCATACCGGTTCTAAATCAGTTACAGTTAGCAACTAGGGAGACTTAGGTAGGGGTAACGTAAGTAACCTAGATGACTTAGATCTATTGGATATTGGAGGTGTATATGAATACGAATAAATCGTACAAGCAAAAAAAGAAAAAAGAAAAAAAACAAAAAAAAAGGTCGATAGGTTGCGCACGGTATCACCGGGTGAAATTAATAGTTCATCCGGACGGTGAGTCGATTCCCGGACTGTCCAGATGGTAACACTATTCCCCGTACTCATTTCAATCGGTACGAATCGTAGGTGTGACGAAGATATGAAATGAAATGGTTCAAATTTTTACAAGGTATTATTATTATTTATTGTGAAATTATACCGTTCCTGCAGCCCCCACTACGCTACGCCACTGCATATTATCATGGGACTGAAGCAAATTTTTGGATATTTCCTTTATGTATTTTAATTACTCCAAGATTCAAATAAAAGTTAAGTAATTCCAATAGTATCTTTAGTTTTAGAATTGAATCATTGCAAATAATTTGCACATTCAGGAGTTGGTTAAGTGTTTGCAAAACATTTCTCATGTTAGTTACGTAATCTTCTCCACTCTTCATCAATGATTTTTTTTAAAAACATTGTACAGTACTGAAATGTTTCCGAAATTTTTTCAATTATTCTTGCTGTATTGTTTTTACTTACCCGGTTGTTATGTATATAACACGGGAAAGAACTGTAATAGTTTCAATTTTGATTCTCCGAATTGTTTGCATGTCTCGACGTTTTGAGATCTCCCTGAACCCAAAATTCTCAGA